AAGTTGTTGGGGGGTAGCTTAAATTGCTTTAACGCATCTATTTAAATCCACAGACAGTAAAAAATACAGAGATTTGAGTCTGTAGTGCGTCTGCTGTATTAAGAATAATAATAATTATTATTATTATTATTATTATTAATTTAAGGAGGAAAACTAGACTGGAAACAGTCACTGAGAACCTGGTTAGGCTCAGCTTTCTGGTCGGTGAGTTACAGCTAAACGTAATAAAGGAAAAGCTGTTCTGTGTTGAGTTCAGGGGTCAGCAGGAGTTTTGTTGACCGTGAGCGGGGGTGTCTGGTGTTTTTTTGTTTTTTTTGCTTCTGGCTGCTCTGCTCTGTCAAACAGATTTATTCTGTGTCATTTTCCAAAGATTCAGCCGTTTCCATCCTTATGTAAAAGATCAGATCCCATAAATGCATCTGTGGAAGGTGGAAGCGCTAATACTTGAATATTATGGCTTTCGTGAGGCCTTATAAATGATAAATAATGGTAATAAATGATGTCAGTGTGTTCTGATATATTGGTTTTGGGGTTAGACTTCTGAGATATCTTTTTATTTTTTTTATTTGTGGCTTTTTTAAAGCTTCTAACATCAAAAACGTGTTCCAGCTTGCTGCCTGAAAATGGTTCAAATACCTTCTCTGTACTAAATAAATCAATTTCTTCACCCGTGAATGTTGCAGTTCCTCTTTCCACCACCAGAGTTTGCTCTAAAACTTTAGTTTGTTTTTTTTCCAAAGAGGGATTCACAAGTATGAAGATGAAATTTAACAAGAAAAAGAAAATGTTTTTAATTGTGGATGAACAGACACACAGGTGACATGAAGAGTTTAAATCCTCTAAAGAGCTTTTTTCCTTCTGGGGCTGATGTGGAGCTCTAAATCACGGCAACACAATACGGAAACAATCGTTTTATTCAGCTAACGGCGAAACACAGTTTGGAGAAAAAACCCGCCGGGCGACGGATCAGCGCCTCCGGTCAGACGCCTGCAGGGGGCGCCACTCGTAGGAATCTGCAGGGGGAGAGACACACAAATATTAAACAAGTAAAAATACAAACATGCAAACAAACACACAAACAAATAACCACAAACACAAACAATCAAACACAAACTTAAATAAACACATAACCACACAAATAAACATACAAACACACAAACAAGCAAATAAACCAACAAAGACATAACCACAAATAAACAAGTAAACACAACAATCAAACACACAAACAAACACAAATAAGTAAAAAAACAAGCAAACAAAAATACGAACACAAATAAACAAACATGCAAATAAACAATCAAACAAACAATGAACACAAATAAACAAATACATAAACAAACAGAAATAAACAAACAAATACATAAACACAAAAAACATGCAAATAAACAAACACAAACAAATACATAAACACAAATAAACATGCAAATAAACAAACACAAACAATCAAACACAACTAAACAAACACAAATAGAAATAAATAAACAAACACAAATAAACAGAAAAACTCAGATAAACGCACACATAAACAAACACCAATAAACAAACATACATAAACAAACACACAAACACAAATAAACAAACAGACACACAGTTTACAGCCAGAGGGAGACCGCTGAGCTAAAGCCTGAGCAGAGCTCCACTCACCGGGCTCCTCTTGGCTCCTTTTTCCCATCAGCCCCACAAACGAGTTGATTTTATGTCCTGAGAAAGAAAAAAAACATTCAGATTTTCAGATAAAAAAACAAAATAAAATCCTTGTTTCACCTTTTGGCTCCTGGACAGAAGTCAGCTCAAATAGCTCTCACATTCTGGACCTATTCTGGACCTGTTCTGGACCAGTTCTGGACCTGCTCCTGACCTATTCTGGACCTGTTATGGACCTGTTCTGGACCCGTTCTGGACCTGTTCTGGATATATAGATATATATATATATATAGATATATATTCAAGGTATTATCTAATTATATTACGATGTTATTCAGGTAAATGTATAAAATGTACAGATTATTATAATAATAATAATAAAAAAAAAAATATATATATATATATATATAATATAAAAATAATTAAAAAATATATATATTGAATATGATTTTTTAAAATAATGTGATAGATTTTAACATAAACTATTAATATTTTATATGAAATAAAAATGATTGAAAAGGAATATTGTGCATCACATAAAGAATACATGATTTACTTTACTCAGATTTTCCTCTAATAAACACCCAAATCACCAAGTTTCACTTTGTTTACATTTTTACTATGGATCTTAAATCTGGTTTCTCTGTTTTCTGCTTCAGATATGAGTCAGATGAGATTTATCTCGTATCTCCTCCGGGATGCAGATGAGCTGAACATCTGTCCTGCATCCCGATTGGCTCCTGTCAATCACACTAATGGGCCGTAATGGAATAATCAGCCGTTAGAAATTGGGCCGTTATAAAACCGCCGGCAGAACCAGTAAATATCCCATAATTCACTAAATAAATCTATATTTGCATTACAGTGATGAGTTCTCTGCGAAAGCCCGGGGGGGGCAGAAATAACCCGGTTCTAGGTCTGTGCTGTAAAAGCAAAAATAAAGCTAAGTAAACAATCCAATTTAAGTCAGCCGTGTCCTTTTGGCATTGATCTCCCTCCGTAATCATGACTGACACACCAGAGGAATAAATTAGTTTTACAGTCATGTTGCTGCACCAGAGGGTTTCAGGATGGTTTAAGAAAAAAAGAAAAGAAACTAAAGGAAAGGAAACCCCTCCTCCTGTGTAAGTCTGGGTTTTATCTGTTCTCTTTTTGCCTCACACAGGCGTGAGATTTGGACAAATTGGTGTTTGAAAGAAAGTAATTTACTGGGATTCATGAAGAAGCAAAAAAAAAAAATTTTTTTAAAAAACAACAAAAAATTGTAAAAATATATACATTTGACTACAGGCAGTAGTTATATGTATATAATAATAATAATAATAATATGATAATATAATATAATCTATAATTGACTAAATTAATCTGT